CAAAGCCTGGGGACCAAATCGCAGGGGAATGCTCTAAAATTGGAAACAGGCACGTCTTTGTCATCACTGTCCAATGCAATCCAAAGCCGTGAGAATTTCACTTTTACTGGAAATAGGATGGAATTAGAAAAGTCATATTCGCTTCAGAATTGAAGAGGCTTTTCATGGCTTGAATCAAGCAAACACCAACGGACCATAAATCCTGCTGGAAATCGACTGATCACTCACTAGGAGAATCAAGAAGACGGGACTATATTTTTTGTTGATGATGTTGGAAATTCTATATTTTTTGTTGATGATGATGGAAATTCTAAGAGCACCAATGGCAGCAGCAGCAGAAACAGTCCCAAACAGAAATAGACAAGATTTTTCTGCAAAGGAAGAACAGCAAACAGTGGACAAGTGGGATTATACAAAATTCAAAAGCTCTGTCACAGCCGAGGACACTGTGCTCTGAGTGAATGAAGGGAGACACCACATCCTCACACTTGCATACCCATGCTTGCTGGGAATGAACTGGAAATTAAAGCAGCCTCCATGCCCTTCCAGTGATGAATGGGTGGTAAAAACGCAGCACACAAAATAATGCCACTTTATTCAACAACCAAGGAAACCAGGGTCGTGCAGCTCCCAGGAAAATGGATAGAATGGAAAAATATTATATTAAGCGAAGTAACTCAGGCCCAGAAAGATAAATGCTGCACATTCCCTCTCACACGTGGGTCCTAGCTTTTAGTTGTTACACATGTGTGTTGATTGGGAGTAAGTGTGGAGAGAGGTCAGGGGACCAGGAAAGGGTTACAAAGGCTTTGACGGGTGTGTGTGAGTGTAATATGGAGTGGGAAAACTAAGTTCTTACTCGCACGGGGATCCTAACCATATGTATATCTCTCCACACATGCATGTGATTGTAGGTATCTTTATATGTACATGTGCATATATCCAATATGTGTGAGGGTACAATGTAGCATACAGAAAGCAGAATAATAAAGGGTAAGTACTGGGTGATGAGGAAGGATTAAATGCATGGAACGAACACCCAGATAATGAGAGAGGGTGTAAAGCTAATTGCGTTTCTTGTTTCCTGTCGTGACTTTTCCATTTTATTTCTTTTGTGGTGGATAAGTGAAATATATATATATATATATATATATATATGTATGTATGTATGTATGTATGTATGAATGATAGTGAAAGTATAAAATCCAGTGTGAAGTTCCATAGGTTCAGAATGGTTATTTTAACTATATAGGAGGCCAGTGACATTTGTAGACTTTGGGTCTGGTTAATTTTGGTGTGTGATTTTTTTGTTAAGTTTGTAAGTTACTTATAATAAAGTTTAAATTAAAAGAAAATAAAGTGATCATCAGTTAATTGTGTGTCTCAGGAGACCCTGAAGCACGTAGTTTACTTTTGGCCATTTTTGTGGAGCTCATGCATGTGGACCACTTCAGCCTCACAGAAGGGGTTTCTTTATCCAGTGGGGTTGCCACCATGGCGCAACGCAAGGTTTAGGTACAGTGTAAAAATAATTTCTTTTCCATCTCGAAACTCGACTAACTTACGGGCACATCTTACGGTGGTTTAGGAGGAGGAGCTGCACACTTGCTTGGCAAACAGAGAAGGGGGTATGAAGGTAAGTCTTTATTCCGGCTTGTCACTTGGCCCAGTAACTAATGACAGCTGATACTCTGTCTACCAGGTGCTTACCTGTAGTTAGGCGCAGCTCAGTGATAACCTTCGCCATGTACCTGTAAGATGGAGGCTGGTTTCGATCGTCAACTGAAACCTGTTTCTTAAACCCCTAAACTGCCCAGAGTAAAGATCAAAGTCTTCCTTCAAAATCCAGTTTCCTGTTTAGATGCGACACAATGCGTTCCCTCCCTGGCCTCAGAATCCCAATGACTCTGATGCCCTCTGGTTCTGCCTCTGTGCACCAGGACTGTTGATACTAATTCTGATAATGATAACAACGGCCTCAGGGAGCTGGCTTCTGGGACGGCTTTCCTCTCTGTTTGCAAGGAAAGAGGACCCGCTGAACAGTAGTCTCAGAGTTAAGCAGGGGCAAGTTTGACAGCTGACTTAAGTGACAGTCTCTTGTCATTTCCGGATGCCCTTTGTCCTCGAGGTGGTGATCACAGGAGCCACATGAGAGAGGGCTGCAGCTTGCAGGAGCTTTGCGGTCTCTCCTTGTAAACACACACCAGATGTAGCTTTCACATGAGCATCCCAGGACCGCAGTTCCTCTGGACAGGAAGTAGGCCCCGGCTGTGCTTGCTGTTTACCAGAGCCCAATGTCTGCACAGAGCTGTACCGGAGCCACTGAGACCCTTAGCACCACGTGGACTTGACCCCGAGACTAGATCTAATGGGAACTCACCGCTCAGGGTGAAATTGAGCTTTAATAATATACTAACTGTTGTTGCTATGTGAGGAAATATGGACTACTCAAAATCTTAGTTCCTTCCTTGGTGTGAGTGGTTGCATCTCAGTTACCTATTGCAAACCACACAGCAAACCCCCAGGAACCCTTAGGTTGTTGCTTTAGGAGTGCGTAATGACTGGTGAGTACTCACTGTCCCACTGAAGCTGGAGGCCAGGCTCAGCCAGCACAGCTACGCCTCTCTCTCGCGTGGTATTTTTACTAAGGACTTCCTTGCAGTGTGGCAGGCTCTGGGCCATCGTCTCTGAGCTTCAAGACTCTGGTGCCGGACCCGAAGGTGTGCACCGTGCTCTGTGGGATAGAGCAGGTCACAAGCCCAGTGCAAATTCAAGAGGAAGACAGACACCGCGCTTTCCAGGGGAGGTAGGTAGTGACTGCATGTGAGCAACAGATGAGTCAGTGCATGAGACCCTCCATCCTGATATGAACTGCAAAGTAGGCGATCTGAGCTGAAGAGCACACAGGCCCAACTTGTGGCGTCAATGTCAGGCTTTTCTGTTTAAGGTGAGATCTGCTTTCCAAAAACCACTTGGTGCAATTTAAAAGGCTAATTCCTTAGCTGCTCCAGCATTAAGCATTATGACTATTTTGCTTGCATCAGATACAAATCTTCAGTGAGCTAGGGAACCTTGTAAGAAATCACTGTGTACGTGTTGGGAGATTTTCAAAATAGATTCATTTATCATTTACGGCCATGCGTGTGTGTGTGTGTGTGTGTGTGTGTGTGTGTGTGTGTGTGTGTGTGTGTGTGTAGGGGGCAGCAGAGTTGAGACCCAGGACTGCAGGGCTGAGGAGCAATGTGAGAGGAAGGAGAAGCTGAAACAGCCGCTACAAAGTGTTCGGATGTTTCCGATTCTAATCAGGAAACTCGGGGAAGCTGAGGTCAGCGACAGAACCCAGAGATTGGCCACAGGAAAGCACAATTGGGGTTCTAGGACTTCCAGTACTGCGGGAAAACTGCTAATATGAAAAGAAGGGGGTGGAGGGGAGTTCCAGAATTATAGTAGTTGGGAAGGACAGGTTTCTTCTATATTTGAAGTTTGTGTCATTACCCCTTTTAGCTTATGTCAGAAATACATATATCCCCACTTTTATTTATATGATACTATTTAATACTGTTACACGCATTTCAAAACATACATAAGATACAGCTACCACAGCAGAGACACTGCCCAAATAGCAGATGCAATATCTTACTGTCTTAGTTTCTGTCTAGGAACTGTCTTGACTGGAAGCACACCGTCATAAAGAACAAGGACTCTAATTGATTTAGGCAAAAGACGCAATTCACCACAAAGCTCCTCAGGTGTTCTTACAAATTATTCTTTTTACGTGGGATATCACAGGCAAACAAAACAAACAAACAAAAAAAACCCACCCACCACCTAAGCAACCAAACAACTACAAAGCCAGTCTCAGTCAGGAGGCTAGCCATTTTATTTCTTACGGTTGGGTCATGTTTTAAACCTACATTCTTCTCATGAATTCTTCTAAACCCACGATTGAAGGACTAAAGTGTGCCTCATGTTGCCACATACAGTTAGGCCCGTGTGTGTGTGTGTGTGTGTGTGTGTGTGTGTGTGTGTGTGTGTGTGCACAATGCATGTTGTGGTGTGCATGTATGTGTGTTCCCATGTTTGGGCACCCATATAAATGTGTACCCATACATGTATAGACAAGAGGTTGACATATAGTGTCTTCTTCACTATTTATCTTTTATACTGAGTTACGGTCTCTTTCTTAAATCCAGAACTTGCCCACCCTAACAGTTTAGCCAACTTTGCTCCAGTAGCCCCTGCTGTCTCTACCCTCTGGGGCCCAGGATTGCGGGCAGGGACCACACTTACCTGGCACTTATGTGGGTAATGGGGGCCCAAACTCCAGCTCTCACACTCACATCAAGTAACTATCGAGTGAGCCATCTTTCCCAGCTCTGTTAGAATCTTTTATCGTATGGTAGAAGATTCAAAACTAAGCTGAACATAATCAGAAACATGTAGTCTGTTCAGACACATGTAATTCCAGAGTTCAGGAAGCTGAAGGAAGGGGGCTGGTGGGATTTTGAGGCCATCTTGGTGTATATAGTAAGACACTGTCTAAAAAAAAAAAAAAAACAAAGAAAAAAAAACTTTCCTACAAAATAAAGAGAAGAAAGTGAAAATTATGTTCTAATTTTTCTTCCTGGTTCTATACAATAGGCGGCACTTGGCTGCTAAGCATTTCTGCTGGATTGCCCAGTGAAGAGTTTAAGCTTCTGGAGTTTTTCTAAAATACAGTGTTCTCTGACTGGAGCTTGTTTTGCTAATTCTGAGACTGTCCTCCATAACACAGAGACACCTTTCTGCTAATGGCTTATGGAAGCAGACAGTGATGCATGGCAAACCCCTGTGAAGGTCTGTAAGGCAACTAGGGAAATGCTTCCCACAGTCCCAATGGAATACCAGCTGTAAGTTCTCAGTAACTCTAGCGGTGTAAAACTGTCACTCAGGAAGGACGAGGTGCACTTGCTCGTTCAGCTCATCCTGTCCTGCTCCTTCCTCAGAGGAGCGGCAGGCTCTTAGACGAGTCTTTCCAGAGCCGGGGGAGGCATCCTGCTCCACATTTCCACTCGAGGGCCAGCCTTTTCCTGCCCACTGGGGCTGTAGGTTCCTTGAGTTGCCCTTTTGTTGGAAGCCACAAGAGAAGCAACAGCTGCAACCAGGAGGATGAATAACAGGGCCAAGGTCCCCGAGCCTATGGCGGTGAAAATGCCCACCAGCCCGTCATCAGGCAGCTGCAAGTAAAGGGGTGATGGTGTCAGTTTCAGGGCAAAGGCATACCACTAGAACAGCAGAGCCATCCTGGAATGAAGGAGCTGCTGCCTAGAGGTAGCGCAACAAACCCGAGGCATCCCAGACTTTTCTTATTCCTAAATCATGCACAAGTGATGCCCTGCCTAGCCCCTAAGGTCTATTCTGAGAAAATTTTGTGTGAAATATCTACTGTATTCCCTCGGCATTGTTGCTGTTGTCTCAGTGACTAAGATCATTCTTTAAAGGGAAAAAGATGAACCCGTACATAAGCAAAATCATGCTGAATTTGCAGGACTGCGTCATTCATGATTTGCCCCTTTCCTCGCTCAAGCTTAAGATTTTTGAACCAGGAATATATAATTGCTTTAAAGCCTTTGGGGGTGGGGTTGGGGGTGGGGAAGGAAAGCAGATTAAATTAGCTGGGTCTTGTGGAACAGATCCCTAGAGAAGTGCACAGTCATCACTTTGGTTTGGATGTGATACAACAGGTGTTGGTAAAAAGCATCTGTCTGTGTTCCACGCTGAACCCAGACAGAAGCAGTGGAGCCCTGGGTTCTCCGGGGATTTACTAGTGCACATAAGTTGGTATGACATCCATTGCAGTGAGTTTGTCCCCTCAGCAAAGCTACAACCTATTGCCTTAGCAATAGGTTACAGGAATCTGCGATTGAGTCACGGAGAAACACTAAGGAGAGAGTCAGTACTGTGGAGACTGTTTAAACGGTGTGCTCAGAGTGAATATTTCTGGCAGCAGAAAAGTAGGTGTACGTTATTTTGCCCTTCTCAGCTCTCACTTAGCGCTCCGTATGGTCCTTGTCTCAATACCAAGCCAAGAGAATGTTCCGTGTGAAAATGGTGTTTTAACAATTCTGGGCAATTTAATATCCTTGTTTTTTTTTTAATCATGTTTATTGTTGCTGTTGTCTCTTCATAGTTTGGTTCAGATCATTATGCAATTAATACCACACAAGTAAATCCCCATAATGTTATCTTTGATCTAGTTACTGTGGACCTTGCTTGACCGTGGCTTACTAGTTTTTCATTCACTCATCCGTATGTAGCAGTTACATGGGCATCTATGGAGCTAGAATGTAAAAATATATCAAAGCTGAATCTGGGTCTCAGCTTCTGGGGGGACAGGAGAAAAAAAAAGGCCACATTCGCTCATGTGTACTTGTAATTTCAGTATGTTATGAATGTGCATTGCAGTGCCGTGAATATTGAGTATCGTCTAACTAAAGTAAATGAAACCACTTGAATTCAAACTTAAAAGAGGAACTTAAAAACTCTTTAGACCTGAAGGGACTCCAGTGAGAGCAGAGCTCGTACACAGAGGTATGACGGACAAAGGAGATAAATCCTCTCAAGCAATCCAAATGCCAACTGTGGTCCCAGCAGCGGCACCAGGGAATGGCCTTTAGACAAGAGCTTGGCTTATCTGGGTCTGTGTTCTATTAGCCCATAATGCAGGAGGGGAGGCTGGACAGAAAGTAAAGGTAGGGAAGAAACAACACAGAAGAGAAGATTCTATTATTAAGGATAGCACATGACCCCGATTTAAACTTCATGAAAAAATAAGAGGTGAGGTAAAAGGATGAGAGGGGAGGGGAGAGGTAAAACCAGAAGCACTCTCCAGCATGCAATCTTTGGCGGTACTCCCTGGGACCATTAGACAAAGCATTCTTGCTCAAAGTTGTTGATGTTACTACCTCCACTCAGTTGTGTCTTTCCTAGAGTATATAGCTGTTGTCCTGGAAGAATGCCACCGGAGTGCCCATACCCCCACGAGTAGGAGGCAAATCAGTTGGTTTCCCGCTGTTTCTGGATCCCTTTTGGGTCACCACAGGGACTGATTGTACCTGAGAAGTGGACCGCATACCCCGTAGCACGTTACAGCAGAGAGGGCAACGGGAAGTGATGCTGGCTGAGACCTCTCCGTGCCCACAGTTCCCTGTGCACAGAGAACTGATCTGCCCCTCACCCTGTGGCCTGTGAAGAATTGGGAACTTGCTGGGAGTCCTCTTGCCAGCCTCAAAATGAGGTGAGGGTGTCAATAGCCCAACGAGACCCTGGCTCCGCCTCCCTCACTCTCGCTGAACACAGGCACTGTGCAGTAAGAGGAGGCCAGAGTTTGATTCCTGCCTGCATCTGCCTCTTATCACACACACACACACACACACACACACACACACACACACACACACACTATGCTGTGGTTTATAATGTAGTGTTATTTGGCTCCTAAAAAGTGCTATAGAATTGCTATGGACTCCTTCAAATTCATCTTGAAATTCAGTCACAGGTGAGCTAGGTACGAACATACAGAGACAGGTGAACACGGGGAGTTAAAACATGAGCTATGTCACCTGATCGGAGATGGTGTTACAGCTTCTACCCCTGAGTTTTCGTGTGTGTGTGTGATGTCTGTATTTAAATGTCACACAAATAGCCAGAAAATATTATGAGAATTGGCGAAAATTGCTTTCAACATGGGTTTCAAAACACCAGTCAGAATATTTTTTTTGTATCTGCATATCAAAAGCAATATAAAGGCATCGCTTCAACTCTCTTGCCAAATTAAAATCAGAGATGAGAATCTGGCTTTAAGACTTGAGAGAGCAGGCCTTGGGAATCCCTCTTGTAACAATCCAACCCTCACTTTATGGATGGTAAAACACTCCCACGCAGGCCCGAATCCTTGAACTGTATCTTATCTTCGAGTTGCCAGAAGCAGGCGTTTCCATGGTAATGTTGACTGTGTGCCAGAACTTTGTTTTTAAAATTATTATTGTGACAGCTGCCAATTTTTAACCATAAATATACTGTTCACTTTACAGTTTGGGGAGGGGGGACAGGCAGAAGGGAGAAGGTGCTGAAAGTTTAAAGGAGAAGACTTGGGAACTATCCTTGAAGAGCAAGGTGCGGATTCAGCCAGATGTTCCTTCTACGGAATGGAAGACTCAGGAAAGAGAAGAAACAGCGGCCTCCTCGGGGAGCTTGCGCCCCTCTCCCTAGGAGCAGTCCACCGTGGACAGCAGGGCACAGAAGAGAGCTGAGACTTAAGCTGCACCCACATCTTCATCAGCTGGGTCTGCCGTCTCCCCCAAACACAGAGTTCTCCATGGATAATGGACAACAACATCTAAGCAATGAGGTTCCCCATCCACACCCCAGAGAACTGTGTAAGAATGTAACTGGCAGCCTTCAAAGTTTCTCACTGGAATTCAAAGTCTTTCATTAACTCTCAAAAAGTAGTTACAATTTTTCACAGCTCCTGACTGGAATCAGGATTACCCAGGAGGGGGGAAAAATACAAGGTTGCCATCATGGGACAGCTAGAGAGACACAAGATGCACAAGATGGAAGGTAGAAACCTTCCCATGGGTGTTCATGCCAGGTCCTGCAGATGTGTCTGTACTGGAAACAAATGAGGGAGAGAGAGAGAGAGAGAGAGAGAGAGAGAGAGAGAGAGAGAGAGAGAGAGAGAGAGAGAGAGAGAGGGAGAGGGAGGGAGAGAGAGAGAGAGAGAGGGAGAGAGGGAGGGGAGAGAGAGAGAGAGAGAGGGAGAGAGAGAGAGAGAGAGAGAGAGAGGAAAAACTGATCTAGCATAAAATGAAAATAGCCTTACACATTCATTAGCCCAACTACGGCCTGTTTTGTCTTGTGGACTGTCAGGAAAAGAGCTCATGCCTGCTGATTTGAGGTCTGCCTGTCAATAGGGAGACAGTTCTTCCTGAATTCAGGAAACCGAGATTGTGCTTGAGTTCCCCGAAAGCACAGGGCTATCTGGAGTTGCGGGGTTGAGGACTGTGGATGAGATCTTGTGTTGTTGCCCCTTCTTATTACTTCAAACACCAGATTTTAGACAACATCTTAAAGCAGCCAGAAGTCTGAAGAGCATGGTTTTCATAGTCTGCTTGCTGGAAACAGGTGGCATGAGCAATATTGTTTATTTGCCTTGGAGCACAAGAGCTCGTGAGCAAAAGTTATCTCTCCTCTCCTGCAAGAACCTAGTCCCAGCCCCACAAACTCACTTAGTTTGCAGTATGTTTTACAAATTTATTGGCTGAAGATAATAGCTCACCATTCCCTCTGACCTTGTCTTGGGCGCTTGCCAGATGTTTCCCCACACAGAAACAGGCTTAAATCTCCCAATGAGCTGATGAGGGAGGTGAGACCTTAGTCACCTACTCAGGAAGGCCTTCCCTTGGGTCACCCTCTGTACCTGCAGTTGGCTTTCATTCTCTCGAGTGCACTGTACTACGGCATCTGTCCACTTTCCGAGACTCTGCTGAGGTAGGGATGCTCGCCTCACCCTGGTCTCCTCCTCCTTGTTCCCTTCTGTCTCCTGGGCACCTGGAATGGTGTCTGTCCCACAGACACATGTTGACGAGGGCCGTATGACAGGAGGGAGCAAAGTACTTGCTCAGCAGCACGCCAAGAGCTTCCGGCTCCCAAAACATTGCACTCTTTCCTCTTGAGATTTAAACCTAACCCAAACCTCAGCATGTACTGCACAGAAGAAGGAGACAGTGCTTTATGGCTCCCAGTGAAGATGGACAGTAATTAATCCCCAGGGCGCAGGTGACAGTAAAGTGGGGGAGGAGAGGACAGAGGTGACTGACTGTGCCGCCAGGAGGACACAGAGAGAGTTGTCTTTTCCAAAGCAGACACAACCTTTCTATAATTTTTTATTTTTCTTGCCCTCTCCCATCCCAGGCTGCACAAGTAGTAGGAAGTGCTGTTCAAGATCAAAAAGTAAGAAGCAACAGTTTCCAAGATGTGATCTTCTTTTCTTTGCATCTCTGTTAAATGATCTGTTGTCCAACTTAGTGTGGCCCATGTTGATGTCAGAGAAGCTTCCTCTCCCCTTCATTCTTCCCCGGGCTCCCTTTTAGAAACCGCTGTTTGCTGACTAAGGATCCCAGAGTGTGTGGGTTGCACAGCATTGTGAGCTGCTAACACTTACAGGCCCCTTCCC